CTCAAAGAGGGGACTTACCGCTGCGATGGCAGCGAGCCCATTGATTTCTGACTTGGAAAAGTATGACTGGATCTACCGTTTTCCGAATGTCTTTAAGTGGTGTGGTTAGACAAATTGACTTATAGAAACTGAATTGACCTAATTCACGCGACCCATAAAGTAACTACCTCTATTTTCTTGTTTGTTTGATTTTTGATGTTTCATATTTTTCTAACAAAAGTTGCCATTTTAATTTCGCGGAAAACTTATTCAGACTAACTAAACATTTGTTTATGAGAAAGTAGCGTTGTCTCGTCTTGATTCAAGTTCACTAAACACCGTTAGTAAGACAGGCAAGGCAGTCTAGGTAGTAGGTACATTAAGTTTTAGCATTTGTTTAATGAAATAGTAAACTTAAATGACGCATCACCCTCTGAGTTGCAAGTTGAATCATCTGCTATTTGCATCCACTCTTAGACCTGGTTTTATTTACCTTTATTTTATATTTTCAACGAACTGTACTATGTAGAGTTTAGAGTCATAATGTTTTCTTTAATAACAGTTTTAGAATGGATTTCTATGTATTAAACTAAGTTAACTAGAAACTGAACCTAAGTTTTTTTTCCTTGTGCAACTAAAAGAGAATGCGCAAAACTGTTGAGAATCTTATTTGGGAATTAGTGATTTGTAGGTTAACGGCACCAGTACTAAATGATATAGGCGTACGTACTCTAATTTGTGTTAGTGGGTAGTAATTCAATGCAAACTGTTTCAGAGTTATTTGAACACGGTTCCACAATTCAAACTAACACTCAATTTAGATGACGCAGTAACTGCATAATTTTAGAGCAAGCTGACTCACAATAGTGTACTCGAAATGTGCCTTTTGTAGTGAGTGCTTAGAGCATGTATGTACAGGAGTTGGTAGATTTCAGGACTAATGGGTACCTTTGCGTCATACGTATAGTTAGCGTAGGTGTGACAGTTTATATTATTAATATGGTGAGCTAGATGGCATTATTAGGGCAGTGTGGGCTGAACAGATAACAGGCTAATGTGTGTGACGATCACGTAGGTGACGTATTTGCTAATTACAATTAGACGCGACTACTGCTTGTAATTGCGGATAGATTTACAAATTACTTATGTATTAGTCTCATGTGGATAAGCGCAAAGGAAGAGGATGGTCAAGTAAGTGATGAATGGATTATGTGAGAAGTATAAGGAAAGAAAAGGGAGTTAATGATAGAATAATGCCTGATATGTGAGGATAATACAAGAATACATTTGATAAACAAGAATGACATCAAAAGATAGAAACAAAAAAGAGACCAATAATATTTTAATTCACGTCAATAAAGTATAAAATTTTCCTTAAAACCAATTAGTAAGCTTGAGCTACAAAACATTCCCAGAAATGTTGCAAAAACAGTAACAATATTCTTCAATTTAATAATTTAGTTCTCTCAAAAACGTTTTCATGGGACCAAAATGTCTTTTATAAATGTCTATATTATTGTATACAGATTTTATTAAGTACCCACATAGCCAATTCAATCGGTTTACATTACGCACACATAGGTACTCGTAACTTACTATCATTTTGCTTTTGTGGTATAAAATATATGAGAAAATGATTTCAATAGGTAAATTTTTTTTAGATACTATATAAAAATAGTTTCATTGACTATGTTACTCCTCTTTTTTATTCGGAGTACAAAATACACTGATAATATGTAGTATATATATATATAGTAATATGTACATAGTAGGTATTTACATAATGTTGTTATTTCAACAAACAGGAAATAGAAGATAATTTAAGTTGTGCGACATTAAAATTCACCTACAAAATATGAATTCGGCGAAAAAATAAAAATAAAAATTTCCTTAATAGTCTTGTGTACCTACCTATATCTTAAACAAATGGATACATTTCGGTCAGTGTGCGTGGGAATTGCACAAACTTATTCCCCCGAGTCCATTTCACCACTGTACCACCAGACGAGCGGCGGGGCGCCACCCTTATATGGTGGACATTCCACCCATTCGCATGAAGCGTTTCGCGTCAGGCTTCCTCTTCCGAACCGCTAAGGATTGGAATTCCTTGCCGGAGGCTGTGTTTCCCATCAAATATGACTTGGGTGTCTTCAAGTCCCGAGTGAACAGGTTGCTCATGGGTAGGTGTGCTCCATCGTCGGCCATATCATCGCTTACCATCGGGCGAGATAGTGGTCAAACGTCGACCTATATAGTAAAAAAAAAAATGATACAGAGATCGAATTTAATTCTATTAATATTATAAATGCGAAAGTTTGTGAGGATATATGTATGTTTTTGTTACCATTTCACGTCAAAACAGCTGAAGGGATTGAGATAAAATTTATACTTAAAATCAACAAGAAGCAAAGAAACAGAACATAGGTATAAAAAGTTATTATACTTAAAATCATTAAACGCAGCAGTACTACATGACTAACAGGGTAAAAATCCTAAAAATATTTTCGCCAATTCGATCGAAGACTAACGTGAGAACAACCTCGAATTTGTTATGAGACTCATATTATGGGGGAATAGTCTATTACCATACATTTGGCACGATTCCATACTCCTAAAACTTATCTAAACCTTTGCTTAACTTGGCCATTGAACCCGAGACCCGTGATTTAGCACGAATTCTTAATAAAGTCACCTTTAGGAAGGGAAAAATAAACAATTCACCCCGAACTACGATGAAATTGCGTTCCCTAATGGCTAATAAAATTGATTGTCGCCTATTTTATTACAGAAATCAATGAAAGAATTCTATAAGGTGGCCGTAAATTACCAATTAGTAACGTTATTATTATTAACAATGTTAATGGAGCCATTTGTAATAATTAACTCGTCGAGTACCGGTTTTGTAGACACAATTATAGAACAATAGGTTGCGGTCACCGGTGACCGCTTGGTGTTTGACAGTTTAAAGTAGTGAGATGTCGTTTAAATAATTATATCTTTCTATAAAACTTAAGTGATAGGAAATCTTTTGCTATTGTTATTGTTGAAATAAGTGATTACTTGTTTTTATCATCTTGAAAAACAATTACATTTAAATAAAATAAAGTGTAGTTTAATGCAAACTAAAAACTGCAAGTTTTGTATCCTTACAGGTTTATTGTATTTTTGCATTTGAAAACTTTTAGCGCATGTTTTGTACAAAAACCCACAACCGATATATGATTTAGTCGTGAATTACATATAGCTCTTGATTAAAAGTCCCGGAAAGACATGAAACTAGTTGAACATACTCGAACCATTTAACGGCCTAAACTAATAACATATCTTAATCCAAAACTGCAGACAAGAACCTATTTTTGACATCAGTTGTATGGAAAAATCGTTCCATCAAAAATCGATCTTAATAGATTAATGATTTTGGATCGATAAAGCTTATTAATTTAGGCAATGAGTAGAAACACCGTATATATCGATTAATTAAGGCGGCATGTTATTCGCTATTAATTAAAACCATAAAGCAGAAAAACTATCAAGTCATATCCTGTCTGCGCGCATATGTCCCACACATGTCCTATTTTTTGAATGACTACGCGTATGAGATATATATGTAAGTACCTACATAGTAATACATCAAGTGATGTGTCAACCACTCTAGTTCATAAAACATTGGTATTTAGACATCAATTAACTACATAGATATCGTATTTATTCAAGTACTTATTTATTTTTATCTAAATACGTTTTTCTGAACAAATTGTCGTATACGAGCTGTGTACTGTTTTTAAATTAATATTATCTGTATCAATCCTGTAGTTGGTCTAATAATGGCAATTGGAAGTACCTAAAGTATTAGGTATATAGTATGGAAAGATAATGAAAGACCATATTTTCTTTATTCTATTCTTTATCTATATTGCTATAAAATTACAAGGTGCTCCAAGAAGCTCCAATACTCACATCACACCGTATATTAATCTATAAGTACCGCACGCATTTAAAATCAATCAATCTTACAAATATTTCTAGTTATCTATATCTATACTAATATTATAAAGAGGAAAGATTTGTATTTTTGTATTTTTGTATTTTTGTATTTTTGTATGTTTGTAATGAATAAACTCAAAAACTACTGGACCGATTGCAATAATTTTTTCACCATTAGAAAGCTGCATTATTCATAAGTAACATAGGCTATATAATATCACGCTAGGTCCTATAGTTGTGGAGCAGTAACCAAAAATGTTTTAAAAACGGGGGAAAAGTATCGTTTCTGACTCTGAGGCCTTCGTGGCGTGCGCTGAGCATATAGTTAAAGTTATACAAAAATGCTCTATAGATGAATTGTTCATAAATAAATGAAATAAGTAAATGAAATCCGGAAAAATATTTTTAAAAGGTAAATACTTCCTAAATAAAAAAAAAACAGAATAAATATAAATAAAACGTAAAACTATGTAAAAAATCTTAAGTCCCCCCGTGCGAAGCCGGTACGGGCCGCTAGTTTACTATAATTTGTTACATAAGATTTTATTATCCGCCAATTCTAAAATTTTCATAATATCCACAAGCTTTTAATGGAAATTGATTTGTATATACATACGTATAAAGACGAATTATGAAAAGCAGACGCAAAAATTCCACATCAATTGCGAGTAAATTAACACGTGTTAGGTGTGTTGCTCATAAACAGTGCCATTTTGTTTGTTAATAGAATCTTCTAAGAAACAGACAGTGTTCTAAGTCATTTTCCAAATGAAGTATGAATGAATGAAACTGTATAGACGGCAGACTGAACATTTGCCTCTCATTTGCTTAGAATATTACGACTTTGTTGTGCAATGACGCGTATCTAAATACTTAGATTATGTACATACCTAGATATGTATGTACATTGTTTTGTACGCCCAATAAAAACTGTTTGTTAGAGTTGGTAGGTACGTACCTATCAACAATTATACATATATAGTATACCTATACTAGCGGACTCGATAGACGTTGTTCTGCATATCCACTTGAATGTATAAACGAAAACCTAGACACCGACTGCAGCGCTATCTGCCGGGCTGATTTGTGAATCTAAAATTCTAAACCATCCAGGGCGCCACTCAAACACGTACAAAATAAAAACACATTTAAATCGATCAAGCCGTTTAGGAGGAGTTCAATGACATACACACGTACAGCAGAATTATATTATATATAAAGATGTACAAAAAATAATGTCTAAAATGTTTATAAGAGCATTACTTCCAAAAGACTGCACCAATAATTTGTATATTTCGGTCTTTACTGGTTTGGCCAATCCAGTATAATGGACAGTATAATGAACAATGGACATTGATGATAAAATCAGGGAATAGTACCCGCGACAAGCCGTGACGAGCAGCTAGCATTTGAATTATACAAACATAGTATTAACTATGCCATCGGTTCATTAATATTTAATAGTCAGTACATTACAATATTTACATTAATGGGTTTATTATGTATCCGTTGGCGCCATTATCTATTTTGGCTATAATTCCGTCATCTGTATTGAATTGTCAATTAGTAAGGTACATGTAGCCATAGTTCGAATACATAACCACTAATAAAGTTTTATGGAGCATTTGAATTCCATTGTTTCCGAAAATAACATAACAGTACGCCTTGTATTATTCATAGGATTCAGCAGAGATGACTTTTGTGTTAGTAGGAGTCCAAAACCAAACACTGAGCATTAATTCAAATTCCGTCTTATTACTGAGATTATAAAACTTATATTCCTTTACCTGACCAAAAAGTTCAAAATTAGATCTGAACAAGTTTTAGTAAAGACGTATTTATTAAAAATTGCCATCTAAGTTTCTAATCATTCAGAAAAAGAATATTTAGAGTTCAATATAGGAAAATTGGAAAGAAAAGTATTTCTTTCCAAGTAAGTACTTAGTACCTAATCAAAGAAACTTCAAGAAATTTAGTTGATTTGTTCCAAGAATATAATTCTAAGAATAGTTCTAGGTTCAGTTTATCGATATTAGTCATTATTTTTTTCTAAGACACGTGCATTTAATGAATCATGCTAATTATATATTTCGTCATAATGGGTCAAAACCTCTTCGTGATTTATTTTTATAAGTTTCTAATTTATAAAAAGCAGTGTCAACCGATATGTTTATAAAAAATATTAATTGATATAATAATATATAATATCTTAAAAATGTGATCCTGGTTTCGAAATCCCTCGGCAAAAGGATTAACTGCCGTACTCAGGGTCATTTAGAGTATTTTCCTTTACCTAGTTCTTAACAATTGTATTCCATACAAAATTGTTACTGAGTAAATATCTCTGAATGCCTCGTAAAGACAAGAAACGTATACGCAAGAAACTTGAAATGTCTCAAAAACCATTGTAGTAAAACCCTATTAGCTATTCAAATATATGTACCTAAATAAACCTTCTAATTTTTTGCTTATTATCTATTATCTAGGTAGTCGTGTTAGAATTACTCAATATTCAATACTTTAATCCATTCCACAAGTACTCGAGTTAGATAAAAATAGGGAGGTACTCAAAATAAGTCAAAGATACTGTCCATCAAAACATAGTCAATATAACGGAAGGGGTCGTAACTCGCGAACCGCTTTGGTTCAGCTAATTCTGACTATTGCGTGACTAGATAGCATCGATGCGAGTTATTAGTAAACAAACATACAGGTGAACCAATTCGACAAACCTTGTAATCGATAATAACATTAACCTATATATTTATTACTTTTACGTTGTTATTTTTATACAAATTCGTACAATAACCATGTATTGCGTTTAACTTGCTATTTCGTAATAGTTACTTAGTGATCAGGGTATTTCTTTCATTCAAATTTAAGAGATATAATATTTTAATTTTTGTAATTGTTTCCGTAAAATAATAAAGGTCAGTTATGTTTGTTGCTGATACGGAGCTGGGGACGACATAACAGGTTGCCGGGGCTCCAGCTCGAAGTTGCAGTAGTAGGAACGGGTTGGTTTTTAGTCAGTAAGAGTCAGACACTCCCTCACAGCCTCACCCGGGTGGGAGAAGTCATTGGATGATTTTACCTCCTCAAAACAGGATATGATTTAGGATTAATATGAAACAGTTACGCATACATCTCTCCAAGTTTACCTTATTAAATACATAGATAACGTTTTGGAGAGATTCTTTAACGCAACTTGAGATTCGACTGCACTTATGAAACATAACTTCTGAGTAAATTGTGTGTTATTACATAATTCCACTTTTCACTATTTATGTTATGAGTCCCATGTAATAGGGGGTGAGTTTATTGCCATATACCGGGCACAATTCCAGTGTTACATTGTACAGTGGCATAATGTACACCTCTGCCTACCCCTTCGGGGATAAAAGGCGTGATGTTATGTTATGTTACATAATTCCAAGACAAAGAAAGACACTACATATCGTCACTACTTAGTGCTCATTATACAACTGAAGGAAGTATCTTGTTTTATAATAATTTTACCGACGGGATGTTCATTCTGATATCTTAACGCAGACTTCCTGCGAAATTTACTCTACATATGCTCTGTTTCAACAGCTAGGCTCGCCGGATGCGTCCACTGTTCGTTAATTATTTCATATTTAATTATATTATTAGAAACACTGCAGCTAATGATTGCAGTTATTAATAAACATGCTGATTACCTTATTGATGTTAATAACCATTTATTGTTATTATTTTATAAAAATATTGTCCGTTTTCAGTTATCTTGCGGTTGTATAATACATATTTACATGGATATATATGACAGTAGGTAGGTAAAATGATAGGAACTGTAGCAGTGTGTTGTGGGAAAATATTCGATATTAAATAGAATATTTTTTTAAACATTGATCAATTTAATACCATTTGTACTTTTGAATTAAGGTTACTTGTTTGTGGCTAGTCTGCAAAGAACGACAAGCAAAGAAATAATTATTGTTTTCGATTTTTATATTTTGACCAATAGTTACGAGAATAGTTTTTTTTAGACATTCACGACTGTCTATATTGTAAAGAAGTTAAGCGTACAGTGTAGGATAGACACGAAGTTCAAATTGAAAAATTGCGTCTCACATCGTCTCCTTCTAGAACTAATGGGATAACAGGGGGCATAAATTGTATTGGCAACAACTTTAATTTGCTTCCAGTAGCCAACTTCACCCACACAATAATTCACGTGGACATTGTCTGTACTCAGGAGCCTATTAACAATATTCGTTTCGGCACAAATACGTCAGTTGGTCCAAAAGCCAGTGGAAATATCATATTAGCTGTAAAAGTGTCCACCGTCACCACTTGCACTTAGCTTGATGAGATGACCATTAATTTGTTGATAAGTAGAGCTGCGGGGTCCTAATCACTTAATTGGTCGCTGTTTCCAGGGTTTAATACGATCAATTGTTATCAGCGAGGGACATGACGTTGAGGTTCACTTGCTATCCTACTGGTAGGATTAATTTTCCGAATGTTGACCGCACCTGTGTCACGCCCTGGACGCGAACATTGCTAATTAATAGTGTTTTCGATAGGTGTGCAGTAGTCCGCCCCGCGCTGTCGCGGCTCACGTTACCAATGCCATTAGTATGATGATAAGCTCGTCAACTTGCTACAGCCCCGCTGTTGTCACTCAGTTACCTGCCTCATGATATATTACCCTTCGATTAGCTCGTTGAAATTCTAAACTCGCCCTTGTAAAGCCATCGATATTTGCTGATCCATCTAAATTGATGAGATACGACTCCGATGATGCTAGAGTCTACTTTTAAAGTTATTAGAAAATAGCAATAGTATGCAAATTATTCAGTTACTCATAAATTTAGTGACTTAATTGTAGCTACTACATTGTTTTATAATGTTGTTAATGGCATTAAACTTTCATTACAATAAATCTAGCATTAGAGACTACAATAAAATTCATGAATTAATACGAAGTACTGGCTAAAAGTTTGCTCCCATTGTCGCTTTCAGATGACCTACGACAGAATGGCCCGATTATTAGTCCCTGTCAAAGCGAAATAATACTGGAAGCGGGGCAAAATTTTACACTAACATGTAGAGGAAAAACGCCATTAAATTTTAAGCAACAAGAAGTACCCGAAGAAGTAATCGGACCATTTCGGATAGAACAGAAAAACACGTCAGACCTGGACGACGAGTCCATGTTCGAAACTGTGCTCGACTTGTACAATGTTGACCGGTTTGCGATTGGCTATTACGCTTGTTACGACGACACGGTCAACGGTAGCGACATACTAAATAACCTCATCGAAGAACCTAACAATACCGAGCATATTGCCTTTATATATATTTACGTTGCTGGTGAGACTTTCGTAATGACATTCAAATATTTATTCGTCTACCTGTGTCTGTATTTCATGATTGATAAAACTTTTAGGCACGGATAGCTTGTTTGCACCTTTGAGGGAAGTTATTGTACCAAGAAAACAATGTAAAGTTGTTATTGAATGTAGACCAACGACCCCAGATGTTGAAGTTAGCCTGACGTCGGTACGTATTATAAATTGAATGCAATCGATATAATTAAGTACGTTTATCAAGGAGATATACAAAAAAATGTAAATTTTAAAATTAATTATACTGTTAATAAAACTTTTCGTACCTAATATCAAAACATATGTGCTAGTGCTACATCAACTGCTTTATTGCATCTGCATGATATTACTTTATGAGATTTTAACAACAAACACTATCACTGTGGCCTAATAAAGCAAAGTAAAATATTGGCTACATAACATTAACTGTTGTAGGTAATTAATTTTACTGTTAGCGTTTAATTAAAATTCACAAAAAACGAACGTACACACTCAAAGCTTCAAATAACTAATGCTTATTGCTAAAGACCGAGCGGATACTAAAGCATGATAGATTAAATAAAATTTGTTGCATAATAACATTGTTAACATTCAAATTCAGGACTTTGCAGAGATAATATATCAGCAATATAGTCCGAAAATCGGGTTCATCATCGATAGCGAAACGCTCTCGGATCCTATCGGTTCGTTCTCGATGTTTCACGCTATCAACTGTGACTTTTCTAATGGACCAGACAATCGGATAGAGAAACCAGTTGTTTTCCAACGTAGGTGAATAGCAGATGTGTGCGTTTTAACAATTTTTATTATCATAAATATTATATACCACATTCACGAAAGGGTGTGTTGCCTTGTTTATTACGAAAATAATTCAGACCGACACGACAACAGTCGAAATTAATTACTTTTTCTGAATGTGGCTTGTTGTGTTTTTCAATTTCATTAGATTCTACAATTATATTTTATTGCAATATTATATCATTATATCTTAAATTGAAGAACACAACTGTATTATTCTGTATCAATACTTACTAACCAGTATTTATTTGGCATCAATACAATAGCAGAGTAGCAAGACACCAGAATCAATAAAGTATTCTCCAAAGATTGGGTTTTTAATGAGAACGTGTAGTAGGAATGCGTACAAATGCCAAGGACTACGGGGAAGTGAAAAAGAATGGAAACACATACGTAGTAAGTAGTGCTACAATCTTGATGTCACCTAACAAGGTAGCGTGGTGTGATGGTTTCATTCACTGGACCAGATACTGTAATACTATGTGTCACTAGGTGAAGTTTAATCCTCGATGTTTGTGGTACCAGCTTCAAGCTTACTACTCTTTCTTTCTTTTCTACTTCTTTGGTGTGTTGCTCTGCGTAAGTTCCGTATGCATGTAAATGTTTGATATAACTATAACTAACACTGTATTGTTCTAATTTATTTGTAATTTAGCTAGTTTATGTTATGTGGTACTTATTTCCTAATGTTTTCACGGTGGGTTCATTTGAATACCATATTCAGTTTTTTCAGTTTTGCTATGGATCATTATTTGCCTGCAATGAGTTTTTAATTGAAGCATTTTGCGTTTTCTTTCACAGTTTTTTTTTTATAATTTAAATAATTTAATGCTGCTTGGTTTTTAGTGACTGATTACCGTAATCATTAATAATTTTCTGATTGATTTTTTTTTAATAATTTTGAGTCGTTTGATATTATACACATTGATTATATATTATTTAAAATTATTATGATATAACAATTATATATTTTATTATTTTATAGTGTTAAAAATGTATGTAGTTTACACCATTTTTATGCTACTTTTATGATGAATATTTTTTATAAGGTCACGAGAGTAACTTGGAGGTATGGAATAACATTCGGATTTCAGTTACAAGACTCCTTTGCAGATGTCTCTCTTGGTCTTATATTTCTATATTTCGAATATAAAGATTATGTTTCTAACAAATTAATATTTTTTATTGTTTGCAGATGTTAGGGTTCCCCCGGTTCCAACAATACACAGAGGTTCCCCATTATTTTTGAAAGGGGAAAATTTTACATTAAGTTGTTCGGTTGCTTATCAACCTGATACTGTTGTCAACTTGTATTGGGTGCTGCCTACTAATGTAAGAAAGGTATTATGCGTTATACTAACCTATTTAATAAACTTTGATAATAATATAATTACACTAAAACTGATATTTAATGTTAACAAGCTTAACTATCTAGAGCCATAGCTCTTTCCAAAAAATCTTAATTCAACAAAAGTTATTAATAGAGTGGTACCAACAATGATCATATCATATCGTTTGGGCAGTCCCGTTTGAAGTTGTATAATTGACATGACTTGCAAAAACGTTTATTATGCAGTAATCTTTTGACCGCTTTAACTAAAAATGACCTTTTCTTGTCCTGTTCCTTACTGTCAGCAATGGCTTTTCGTCCCTTGTGATACTGGGGCATGACATTGTTAAATTAATGTTAATATAATTTTTCTATTTACATAAATAATCAGAGGTTTTTCTTTGAAAGAAAACATTATTAGCTTGTTTACATTAAACAAGCCATTTCGGAATTTTGTGTCTAACAAATATTATTCAAAGATATATTACATGTAAGTTCTGATGATGTAAGATATTCAATTAGTAGTATTTTTTAGGAATCAGTTTTAGCTAAGTCAAACGAATATGAGATTGTTCGGGAACCATTATTATTCAAGAATATCACTATAATTAATGCGACAAAGGACCATGGAGGCAATTACACCTGCGTCGCCAAAAACAATTGTGGTGAAAAGTCGAAATCCTTCACAAAGATTTTTTTACGTAAGTAAATAAATATATAAACATGTTACGATATATGTGTATGCATTTACAATCTGTTTCCAAAATCAAATAAAAATTAAAAAATGATATCACATGGTAGGTCGTCTATAATATATACATCTCTATAAAGATTAAAATGATCGTTTTTTTAAGTTGTTATTATCTTAATTTGTAAACCACTTATTGTGTGTAAGTATTATTTTTGTGGTATATGTACGTACCTATATGTTGTTTGTGCTTTATGCCCAATAATATACTATTTTTTGTGTGTGTGCTTTTAAATTCACATGTTCAGTATGAATATTTGTTGTACATTTAAACGCACGCTGGCTACTTTGCTGAATTTTAACATTGATAACAATTTCCCCGTGTAGGCAGTTACTAGGATCTTCTGTACAATCTTTAAACATATCAAAATAGTAATGCTGACTGGGTATATAGAAAGATGTGTGCATTGAATTCTGCCCACAAAAAGCCGAAATTCAGAGACCATACTGAAATTTAAAAAATTATTTTATCGCTTATCTATTAAAGTAAGGCTTTCTTCAGTCTAAAGGTGATGTCAGTAACCCAACTTTCTTCAATCAGACAATTCGTTTCAGCAACACAGTTTTTGCTGCATATTAACGACCTGCTTAAGCCTGATATCTTTGTATACCCATATTATTATCTGGATTCATCCATTCATTGGCAAATGCAGGTGACAGCACAGTAGTTGAAAGGTACGTGTCCGATGCGCGGACTAGTGGAACACAGATCTGGTCTCTGAGAGAGTTCATAGTCAAACACTTAAACTTCTTCTTGAAGGTGGTTTCCGATTGGGGTGATACCAACGTGATCAAGTTCCATGCCAATAAAACCCTGGCGTGTCTATTCTCTGCTAAACGGAGTCAATTCTAGTTACCTCCTATTGTCCGGAATGTTTCAATCCCAATAACTGACCACTTTGAGCTTCTTGGCGTAACTCTCACGCCCATTCTCAAGTTTGGCTCGTATATTGAGTCAAAGGCGCAACTGGCTGGAAGAAAGTTGGTTATCCTATCGAGGGTGTGGCGGTACTTCACGGCGAACCAATTACTAGTGTTCTACCAAGTACAAGTTCAGTCGTGCATGGAGTACTGTTCCTATGTTTGAAATGACTCGGCTAAGCACCAGTTGGAAGGCCTCAAGTCCATTGAGAGGCGCGCCAAAAGGCTAACCAATGCGCTTGTGAAGGCCCGGCTCCAAAGCCTCAGCATAGACGACAAGTCTGATATATTCTGGAGTGTGTATTGGGGAATTGCACAACTTAATTCTTCCCAGTCCATTTCACCATCACACTAGTAGACAAACGGAATCTACCATATAACATTATTATTTTTATAATTGTTATATAGACGTTTCACTCGAACGAAGTGTTTCGCTTCAAGTATCCTTGTGTGAACAGCAAAAAAGTGGAGTCTATGTTCCTTAAAGAGAATAAGCAGGGTGTTTTCAAGTCTCAAGTGAATAGGTTACTTGTGGGCAGACATGCTCCATCGTAGGCCACATCATCGCTTACAATTAAGCGAGATAGCTTACCCATTACCAATAAAAAAGTAATAATAAAATATTTGTCATGTAATGGGAAGCGTTCACGGAACCAACATCGTTTGTCGTTCGTAACATAAGATATTCAGTGACGTAAGTTTATAAAAGTGCTCAACATGAATGTGTTGTTATTTTAAGTGCAAACTATAAAAGTTACATTTTATTTTTACGTGGTTTGTTAGTTTTAATTCAATTATTTTTTTGCCATAAATTATACTGCAGATTACATATTATTTTATATTTTTAGCCGAACCTCATCTGAAATTGACTCCAGTGACTAGAGATAATCCGAAAATAACGAAACAGAAAACGGTGAAGATCAACACTGAGGTAGTTGATTATCCCACAGCGAGTTTTTATTTGTGAGTATATAACTTGTTTCTAAAGTAGAAGCCTGAGCTACCGACTTTGTTTTTGTAGGCAATCCAGCAGACGTATCACTTGATGGTAAGTGATCAATCAGTGCGCCCTACAGCACTATTAGACTACTGGTAACACCAGAGGAGACACAGGAGACTCTATATAACAGTCCATGATGCAGTCCACCCGCTTCTCGTGCCTGAGGGTGCGAGTTAAAAACCTGACAAGAACTAACGTGACTTTTTCCAAGTCACATGCACTTTCTTAGATTATTTTGGCATCACTGACAAACGGTGAAGGAAAACACCGTGAGGAAACCTGGGCTTATAATTTGTGTATAAGTTAGTTTCCAACCCGCATTGAGCAAGTGGTGGTTAATGCTCAAACCTTCTCTGTGTGAGAAGAGGCCTTTGGTCAGCAGTGGCCAAGTATAGGCTGTTGAAGGTTGATGTATTTTTCTTGTGTGAATAAAGTGCTTTTTTGGGTATATGCATAATATTCCTAATAGATATATATATCGTTATGATAGACTAGTGATTTTATTTTTTATAATGTAAAATTTATTTTCAGTTTACGCAATAACGTATCGTTGCCGCTAGATGACGAGGAAAATGATAAATACGATGTCACTCGGAACCCTTACACTGGTGACGTCATTTTGAGTATATTTAAGACAGATGTGTTCGATTCTGCTAACTATACTTTAGTCGCCAGTAATGGGTACTTGAAAAAGAATTACACTTACGAAGTGTTAATAAAAGGTAAGAAAAATCATATGTTAAATTCATATTTTTTACTTTTAGTTCTTCACAGTAACTGGCTATTGAATAAGCTTCCAGAGTGCCAAACACGAATAACTATCGCATTCGTTACATAATATATTCGGCGCTTTGATTGACCGGCTTCTGTGAACCAACTGTTGTTCGTGCTTGCCACTCTGTACTAGTCTAATAATGTAGTTTTGTTACCGCATAAGTTTCCTACAATTCATAAGTCTAACGACTTTAAGTAAGATCTTATGTTGAATTAAGTATTGGATATATGGATAAAAATTATACGTATTATGTACCTTTTGCTAGTGATATTAAGTACCTACCTACTTTGAAATTATTATGTAGTTCTATGTATTTACTTGATTATGTTCTACTTCAACAATTTATAACTTATACATAAAGCGACACTATGATTTATAAATAAGTTATTTATATGAATTATTTTATAAATAAGTTGTAATGAATACATATACCTATAATTGTATTCATCACAACTGATATGTAAAATTATAGTTATATATGTATACGTTAATAATTACATTAAGGAAAATAGAAATGATTCTGTCTTTGTCTTTCAGCAAAGCCAACGATCAACTTTGGACCTAATGTTGATAAGAAATATTTGCAGAACACTCGTGCATCCTTGCAGTGTGTAGTTACAGGATTTCCTCTGCCCGAAGTCACTTGGTCATTCTCTAATGGAGAGACACAGGTAAAGATTAAACATTTTTATTTTCCAGCATTTTTATTTTCTTACAGAAACTAGCTCTTGCCAGCGGCTTCGCCCGCTTTCCTAGGGGTAAAAAGCCTATGTGTTACTCCAGACCATTATACACTACAGCCGCGACCCGTGTCGAGCGCGGCTACCGTTACACAAAAATAATCCTTATAGCATGATTCAGTATTCACGTACGACTGGTTTTTTGGACGATGGCTTTTTTTAAGGGGGCAAAATCAGCGAATGATTTATCCCGCCTGGGTGAGGCGGGAGGGAGTGTCAGACTCTTACTGACTAAAAACCACCCTGTTCCTACTGCTGCATTTCGAGTCGAAGCTCCGGTAACCCGTTAAGTTCTCCGCGGCTCCGTATCTGCATTAGCCCTATTGGGCCCCATCCGTGGTGATCTGATGGCTCTTTGAGGCGCGCGCGGAACGCGATTGCTTATTAGTGTATTTCATGTATAAATTTGGTGCTTCTTTACCGATTTATAATATTTTTTTATTGAATAGGTAATAATGTGCATTGATGTCAAGGTCAACTCTCTTAATAAAATTATCATTGATATTTTTGACAAATTTGCACCGGTGAGACGGGTGAGGGTGAAGCATGAACCGGCTCCCTGGATCACGCCTGATATTGAGGAAGCTATGGCTCGACGTGATAGGGCCAAACAAAAATATAAGAGAAGACCCTGCGATGAAAACCTCACACTATTCAGGGCTTTTCGTAATCGATGCAATCGTCTGTGTAGGGATGCTAGAAGGTGCTATTTCGATGAAAACCTGGTCAATCGTTCTTCTAGTGATGCATGGAAGTTTCTGCGTTCTGTGGGCATCGGAAAGTCACCTGCTGCCGCATGTAGTGGCTTGGACCTCACTTCTCTAAACTTACACTTCTCGCTTCCTCCGGTTACTCTCGATATTTCCACAAAATCTAAGACTCTCTACGATCTTTCCTGTTTACCATTTCTCCCTTCTTCTCCTTTTGAATTACGCAGTGTTTCCGAAGAAGATGTCAAAAGGTCAATGCTCGCCGTTAAGTCATCTGCAGTGGGCAATGACAATCTATGCTCCCGCATGTTTCTCCCCATTCTTAATCTCATTATCCCTATCCTTACTCACATTTTTAATTTCTCCTTATTCTCTTGTTCCTTCCCCTCTGCCTGGAAGATGGCCCATATTATTCCTTTACCTAAATCTTCCAACCCTTGCTCACCTTCCCAATACAGGCCTATTTCTATTCTTCCTTTCCTCTCCAAAGTTATGGAACATCTTGTTCATAAGCAGCTTACTTCCTACTTATCTTCTAATAATCTAATTTCTCCTTATCAGTCTGGTTTCCGCCCTGGTCACAGTACCGTTACGGCTCTGCTCAAAGTGACTGACGACATTCGTTGGGCCATGGACAACAAGTCACTAACTATTCTTGTGTTACTGGACTTCAGTTCGGCCTTCAACTCCGTGGATTTTGATATCCTCTTGGGTGTTCTGAAGGCCAACAACTTCTCTTCCTCTTCTTTGAACTGGTTTGAATCATATCTTCGGGGTCGTCGACAGCGTGTACGCTTGGAGGAAGTTTTTTCCGACTGGTGTGACCTCGTTGCTGGCGTGCCTCAGGGTGGCGTCCTTTCTCCTGTTCTTTTCTCCATGTTTATAAATACCGTTGCCAAGGTAATCTCCTCTAATTTTCACCTCTACGCAGACGACCTGCAGCTTTATCGTCACTTCAAACTATCGGAAGTTGGTCGCGCTATCGATGCTGTAAACCGCGACTTGGACGGGATTGATAAGTGGGCCAAGTCCTTTGGTCTCCAAGTCAATCCTCTTAAGTCTCAGGCCATGATCATCGGTAGTCGATACTTCCGCAGCGCTCTGGACATCTCTACTCTTGAGCCCGTGCGCCTAAATGGCACAGTGATCCCTTTCACTGACACTGCCAAGAATTTGGGGGTAATCTTCGATTCCAATCTTCTATGGGGTGCACAGGTGAGTGAGGTCAGTCGAAGAGTCCATTTCTCCTTTCACTCGCTGAAGCGTCTCCGGTCCTTCTTGCCATTTAAAACTAAAATTCTCCTCGTACAATCCTTAATTCAGCCTTTACTCGACTACGCAGATGCTTGCTATTTGGACGTCACTGAGGAGCTACTAAACAAGCTTGAGCGGCTGCAAAACGTCTGTATTCGCTTTGTCTTCGATCTTAAGAAGTACGATCATGTCTCAGTATATCGCAGTAAGCTCAAGTGGCTCCCAATCCGACTTCGCCGGAACACTCGCATTTTATGTCTCCTTTATAATGTCCTTAACAACCCAGCCTATCCTATATATCTCCGTGACCGTTTTTCCTTGGCTCGTCCTCCTGAAGCCCTATCTAGATCCCACCTTAAGTCCTTTCTTGAAATCGTTCAACATAAAACCGATTTCTACTCCTACTCCTTCACGGTTCATGCGGTGAGATTGTGGAATTCGCTGCCGCCTAGCATACGCGACTCCAAGTCCATCTCCATTTTTAAACGACTTGTCAGGGATTATTATCTTTCGTCCTGAAGTACAGCTTTATTTATATATATATACTTATCTATATATACATACAATATACATATATATATATACATTTATATGTAATCATATTTCAATATTTCTAATTATTTTATTTATTATGTTTGTTATAATTTGCTTAAGTTTATATTTTATCATTATATTACCGTCATTCTAGTTTTATAGTTCTTTCAGTAATTTTATTTTGTTCTGTATTCGTTGCATGTATCATCTATCTACACTGTGTCTTGTCTTATGTTTAATTTCCTTTTCCTGTCGCAGGTCTGCAGGAAGAAATCCCTTAAGGGATATGCAGTACTTATGTACCTCATGTTTATAATGTGTTGTCCTGTGTAATATTGTCTGTGTGGTGTAGGTACATAAAATGATAAATAAATAAATAAATAAAATGTTAACTTTTTTAATTATGGATGAATATGAGTATTATAAACGTAAGAGTTAACTTATATAAGCAGAAAACTGTATTGCTAGGCTATCGGGAGTTACACGTGTTATTGCGAGTCAATCATAAAAGATAGACATATGCTGTACTGAGGATAATTTTATGTAGAACATTTCCGTCATACATGATTTCTATGTAGCTTTAACCAATAAGGCTGCACAAGCAACGAAAGCTTAAAACTGGAGTAACTTTTCCCGTTTACCCAACATTTCCCTTTGCTGCTCTGCTCCTATTGATTATAGCGTGATAGAAAGTATACTATAAACTTTCCAGGAATATAAAGAATAATTGTACCAAGATTCGATAAAAACCGTAGAGTAGTTTTTGTACAGAGAGACAGACAGACAAAAATTTTACTGATTGCATTTTTGGCATTAGTATCGATAACTAATTACCCCCTGATAGATATTTTGGAAATATATTGAATGTACAGAATTGACCTCTCTACATATTATTATAAGTATACATTACCTTTACCCTCTGGACTATATAGTACACAGCATTTACCACCGAGACCCGATTAATTGTACCTACATAAGGGCCCTACTTTCGTTTCCATATAAGTCAGTATTTCGTAAGCAGGGTTAAGGAGCCCATAGACTTCTAGATAGGTCATACAAAGAATGATAAAAAATTTAAGTAGGTATACATTTTAATCGATCTATTTGTTGTCATTAGTAAAGATTTATTTAGATTCGGATATATTCGGAACAACCCGATAACACTATACATAATTATAATCTTTCATTGTAGCCAAGTTCATCCACACACGTGCTCTCCAAGTATAAAGAAACAGCAATTCTAGACATGACGGTGACTGAATCCGGCAACGTATCTTGTAAGGCGTCTAACAGTGAAGGTACAGTGATAGAAACGAGAAGACTTCTCGTTTATGAGATTCACAATGGATTCGGTATAATAAATCCAAATAAAACTTGGTTCTCGCAAAATGAAGACGGAAATATCACATGTATTGCGTCCAAATATGACTTTTACAATGTAACTTGGCTGGGCCCAGACGGTGAAGACCTGAGAGGAACGAGTAAGTTCTTAGAATCACTACTATTTAAAACATAACGTGACCCACGTCATTGATGGCTCCACTAACAAGTTTTTTATTTTCAACAGATGCTTTGGAATATTCGACAAATTCATTTTCACTTATTGCCAAATTGAAATTCCCGCAAATATCTTTGAACCACAGCGGTTTGTATACTTGTCAAGGATCGAAGTTGGACAGCAATTCTGAGTCCGAAGTAGAATATATCAACATTACAGTTGCTCGTAAGTTGGTCATTTTAGTAATTCATAGAAATTTTAAAATAATTTTGATATGTTTGTAGTTATTTACCAACTTGTGCATTTTCTAAATAAACAAGGGTATCATGTTTGCAGCTCTTCAACCACCAATAATAAACCAACCAGAAGATGACCAGACCATAGAAGTAGTGACGTATCAAGAGGTAGAACTAACTTGTCAAGCCGAAGGTGTGCCGCCGCCTAAATTAGAGTGGTACAAGGTAAAGTTTGACGCAACATTGTTTTATTTACTCACTGTATTATGAAGTAAGGGGGTTTTAACTACCACTCCCAGGGTCCCACTACGTTTTAGTGTTATTAACATCTCCGCCCTACGGAAATATTGTTGTTATCTACAATTGTAATCTATAATCTTTGATTACTATGGTGATATTATTAGAAAATTAAGACAATATTCAATATGAAAACTGTGAATTTATTGTAGATGTTTAGGGACAATTGAGCGCTAAAATTTTCCATAAAAGTGCCCCTGTTAATTAACTCTTTATGTATGATATAAGGTTAATAAAAATATGTCGACCTAGAATCGTAGTGTGGGGGGCAACGTTAAAAAAAATGTATCTAGAGGTACAATTCCACAATACAATTTTTGTTTATATTTTTACTAGGATGGCGTTTTAATGAAAAATGACACAAATGCAAAAATTTACATTCAAAACATCAATCGTACTATGGTGAACTCATCAATTCGAATAGATCGGCTGGTAAAAGAAAACAAAGGAACCTATGAGTGTTCAGCTACTAGCGATGGACAAATGGCAAGTCGGGTCTATACAGTGGCATTGAAAGGTATCTATTATACTTATAAACTTGTGTGGATACTTATTATTTATTTATTTCTAAACGACTGAACTGCTAGTGATGGTACTCTAAATGATGTATATAGAATTTATGTTATTCAAGGTTCAAGTGTTACATATGGTCTTTCTTTGTTTTGAAGAATGTATGATTGTTGTAAATAATGATATTTTTAAGTTTTGAGTGCTCCACTCAATTATTTTCTTATGCATTTTTGTCATTTTGCAGCATCGTCCTACGAATTATATTTGAGCATCATTCTCGTAGTCATCTTTGTTTTAATCCTCGTGGTTCTGTACCTTATGTGGAGGGTCAGAAAGGATACCCAATTCAGAAAAGAATTGAAGGCGTCTGGTCTTTTGTACTTCAATGAAGGAGCTACGAAGTCACTGAACCCAGATCTGGGCATTGATGAGCAAGCTGATCTGCTGCCATATGATGAGAAGTTTGAATTCCCTGCCGATAAATTAATTCTTGGTAAGATCTATTTATTTGCGCTCTACTTAAATTATATAAAGTTTTAATTAACAAGTCATTTGTAAATTTTGTAGGCAAACAGTTAGGTGCAGGTGCATTTGGCGTAGTTTATAAGGCGGACGCACGTGGCATCATCAACGCTGAAGAAACAACCGAGGTTGCGGTGAAGATGGTTAAAAAAACCGCAGACAACATGTATATCAAAGCATTGGCCTCTGAACTAAAAATAATGGTGCACTTGGGCAAACATATAAACATTGTGAACCTACTCGGAGCGTGCACGAAAAACGTTGTTAAACGTAAGACGTTTCTGTTATTAATACATATTACGTAGAAAATATTATTTCTTCTTGTTAAACTTACAAATCCTGCTCTTAAGATTTTAAACCTAACAATAAATTTTGTGTTAAATAGGGATATTTTGTTTGAGAACTACAAACAAAAGTATGTATGGTAAATACATATATCAATGAACACTCATTGCTATACAGCAACCATGTTTACTAATATATTTAGATTAGTTAAAACCAGGTAGAAATAGCGGGAGTAGCTCACCTTCACCAAGAACATTTTAAGATATTCACAAGTTTCATACTTGTGAACCCATTTATTACACCATAATAAGTATTTTATTACATCATTAGGAAGGATCAACAAATTGACTAGAGGCTTACGTAAAGGTCCTTTCAATGCTTTCTACTGACTCACTGTTATTAGACTCCATCAATGTAATCGTATTACTTCATACAATTTTATTTGAAAAATGTTGCTATAGGTATACCTTCCATTTATAAATTGAGAATAGCTGCTTTAAAGCTAGAGAAAAATACGCAAAAGTCGTTCTTATTTCAAAGACATTAAAGAATGAAAGCGTATGACCAAAAATATAATATACATATCTATACATATACGATTATATAGCTCTGTTATTCAAATAGTGGTATTTATAACATTTCCTCAAATATCAAACAAAAAGATTATTCATAGCTTCTGTTAGTGCGTTCAAACATAGCTATATAAACAGTACTAATGAAAGATAACTAATTTGTTAATTCCAGGCGAGTTGATAGTGATTGTAGAGTATTGCAAGTTCGGTAATATCCATAACTACATGCAGAGGCACCGCGAGGTGTTCATTGATCAGCTCACGGATAACAAGGAGAAGAATCTGGGAAGGGTCAACAGAGGATTCTCGAGCAGCAGTGGCAGTACTGGGTAAGTAATATTAGCATTAAATGTGAGGTATGATTTTTTTCTTTAATTTCATGTTAAGTAGATGCTAACATCTAGATAGAGAGTAGCTGTTTCCGTCGGCAAATACGTTGAAGGAGATATGTTACGTTAGGAGTCTTAAGTAGTCGTAAATAATTTGTTGCAAAATGCAGGCATAGCTCTCAGCCTAAATGATAATCTCATAGAATAAAAATAGCCCAACGTCCAAAAAAATTGTGACATTTATAGCGTGGTCTACATAATAAGAGACTTTACTATAATGTTTACGCCAAGATATATGTAACATATCATTTGAAAACTAGCAAAAGTATTTAATAGGTTTTTTGTTCACAGAGCACACTCAGACTATTTCGCTTCATGCACACAGGACACCGACCACACATTTGTCAACACGGCTAATACTAACCGATCGACAAGGAAAGGTAAATATATTATCTTTTGTTAAACAAAATGTCAAGGGCGGACGACAAATTATTATATACAGACAAGCCACAGATACTGGTAAAAAACAGCTAAAACATATTTTTTAACAATACAACAACAATGAGATAAAAACTGAAGAAGTACGTGGGTTGTAGCCTGATTGATTTAGAATAGATGAAGCAAAAAGTGTAGGTTATTGAAACATTATTTTTAAATTAGCTAAAGATGAATCTAACATCGATATCGACATTGAATATTAACGCTCTGGCAGAATGATTGGCATGATTGTTCGTACAATTTATTTGCTTTAATGAAACGTCCAAGTGTATACACTATACATATACATTTTTAATGAACAACAAGATTTTGTTAATGTTCTATTTCATCAACATGTTCAGTAAATCTCCCTTTTTTACCAGACAATCAAAATCACCAAGTGGAATTTGTAAAAGGTAACTAACTCTTTCGAGCTGCTTATGTCTCTGCATCAAATCTGATGTTTTCATTCAGTAAATATTGTGTTAGCATAATATGTTTTGTGGTGTTGTCTAATTTATTATCACTATGATAATACGTAATTGCATTTACGTTATCTTTTCAGTAATTTTGTGATTTATTTTGTGCACAAAATGTTTTTGTTACATTAAACTTACTTATCGCTTGTGACTAATTGCACTTGCTTTTCGAACATTTATAATATTAAGAGTAGATATTTTGAGCTAATATTTTGTATCTTGTTTTGAATGTGTTCATTGTAAGTTCTTGCTATTTTTCACAAGGAGATACCTATTATTCAGTTTACTTTTTGCTACTAATTTAGTGCTATATAATTTTTTACTAAAACTAATGAAAGTGTTATAATTGTTGTACACACAAATCACGTCGTCACGTCGTGTACGACAATCACGGGCCAAACCTACTGCAAAACACTGCAGGTTTCCTTGTCAGGTGAAGACTTTCCAATATTTAGTCAATCATCGGGTATAGTCTGTAAATTAAGAACCAATCACCATGGATAGCAGGTCAACCTTCTCCGATCTGACAATTTTATTCATTGGATTTTTGTCTTTATATTCCAAAACAATAAAGTTGAAAATATAATAAAGAAAAGAAAACAAAGGAAAGTCGTAGATTTTCGTTCTTTGTATCGTATCGTTATACCGATAGATCGTTTGCTGGCTATTGTACAATAACATTATCATAGGTCAACCATTCAACACGTTACAATGTAAACTGTTCGAAATATTCTGACAAACATAGGTACTTCAACGCTTTTAACTTCAGTTATACTCAAATACTTTTCAAGATCAAACGAATTAAGTACCTATTTATTAACCACCATTATAATGATGATTTACTGACTGACCGACCGACTGCAGCGGCATCAGCCGGGCTGATTTGTGAATCTAAACCATCCAGGGCGCCACTCAAACGCATTCAGAAAAATTCATTTAAATCGGTCAAGCCGTTTCATAGGAGTTCAATGACATGACATGACACACGTACAGTAGAATTATATAGATAAAGATTAGAGAACTGTCTAAAATGTAAAACACTTATATAAGACTGCATTTCATCTCTTTTTAATGGTCTGAGCTGGCCGTAACCAGATGCAATCAATCTATTATGCAATTGCGACGTGTCTACAATAGGCGTGAACTGCTGAATGGTGTACAAGGATAAAGCTAGCGGGAATACTTGTGCATTAACGTGTATATTACATCATCAATACATATAATAAATAGTGAAATGGTGTGTCCGTACAATAATAAGTAGCTAGATGATGAACCAGAAGGAAAAATCGTTGTATATGTTTGTCTCCAGTCTCCAGAACTAATTGACGGATTTGAATGAAACTTTTTATTGTATAGCTATAGTCTGGGCAACATTATAAGGAATATTCATTGTTTTTATTAACTAGAATTAAAAACGGTAATTACCTTTTTGTACGAACAAATTCGCTGTTCGAAGTTAGTTAAGAATAAATGTCATTCGGAAAACGATTCACGTTCTAACATTGTTGTAAGGAATTTAAATAAACAATGTTTGTCATGGTGGTTGTCCTATTTTTTATTTTTAGACTTGCGGTTGCATTTTTTACTGTTAGATAGGGGCCTTATACATTTTCCTTTAGTTTTGTGTTAGTTAATATGCATATGCATAAACTTTGAACATACCACGAATCTCTTATATAGAAAGTTCTAAATCTCAAATAAATTTTCAGAATACCCTTTCCAGCCCTTGTAAATGAATTTTTCTTTCCTTCTTCCAGTATCCGAAGGTTATGTACAACCAGAATGGCGTACAAACTACGAGAGTGACTACAGTTTCGATGGACGCAACCCCCGCCCTCTGACCTCTCGTGACCTGCTGGTTTGGGCCTTCCAGATCGCTAGAGGCATGGAATATCTTGCCAGTAGAAAGGTTAGTAAACTGAGAATGTGATACCATAACCTCACCTGAAGCATGTCTTTGCATTGTTCTCACTTATACGTACAGTATTGGAATATGTATCAGAGACATTGTAGTACATACTTTTTTTAAAAGAGTAACGAACGGAGATTCTTGCTCGTTCTTCTCCATTCGAATCTACATTTTGGAATGAGTACCTAGCTTCACCTAGCTTCACTGACGGACTGACTGACAGACTATTATTTATAGAGAATTATACTTTGATTAAAATTGAAATTGACTATTTAGAAATATGGTTTAATTGAAATAAATGCTTTGACTTTGACTTTCACAGAAAACTGTGTAAAAACCAGAACGTTGTGTTTCGCCGTCTCAGGGCGGCGATTTTTTTATCATTGGATGATCCATCTTTTGCTAGAATACGTCGTATTCTTAAGCCATATTTGTTTCTTCTTGCTGTATCATTGAAAAAGCAGCAGTAGATTACAGATTAATTAAACGATTCTTGTCATTAAACTGTCGAACACCAAGCGGTCACCGGTGACCGCAACCTATTGTTCTATAATTGTGTCTACAAAACTGGTACTCGACGAGTTAAGTATGATGAAGTTAGGTTTATTATAGGTATACTTACAAAGTGTAGGAACAGATAATCCACTCCTTGCCATATGTTGTCAAGGAAACTTATTACCATGTCTGTTTTTCCTGGTACATATTTTAACCCGCATATCGAAACTAACTTATTGTTGCAGTCTTATGTAATAACCATGTTATTGGATATAGTCTAGACTGACTATGATTATTAACCTCTGTTAATTTTCAGGTTCTTCACGGTGATTTAGCGGCAAGAAACGTATTGTTAGCTGAAGACAACATTGTGAAGATTTGTGACTTCGGTCTCGCTCGAAGCATCTATAAAAACGATGAATATCAAAAGAAAGAAAACGTGAGTACTCACATGATTCTACAATGACCTTTATGTGCACGAAGGTCATCTTGAAAGTAAACACTTATTCAGATAGATCGAATACTAACGTATGTACGTCGTAAATAGTATTTAAAACACCATTCAAAATGATTAGTGCGTGTTTTGAAAGGTAGACTAAAAAGTAAACATTTTAAACAATGTTTACATCTACTTTGAACTATTTTATTGTATTTAAACAAATTGTTAATTTTGTCAGTATAATACAAAATGGATTTTAGGTTATAATGTATAAGTACTCACAGGCTTATGTCACTTAAATGTAATAAATAATACACTGTTCTGTTTCTATTGAAGTAGAAAAATTCGTTAGTCAATCTGCAATCTCGATTGTAATGATGTTATCAATAAAGTAGGTAGTGCGTGCGTACCCTGCACGTTTTTATTCCTTTGGGAGATTGCAGAACCGATACCGACAATCGGACAAAGAATTTTGAAAGCGGTTTTCTTTTTGGGAATGTTTTATCGATATGTTGTGGTGTGTATAATAAATAGTGTAATGATGTTTTCCTGAAAGTATAATATATCGATGAACCACAAAAAAATTTCACCAACAAAGAATTTGATTGCGCAATAGGAAAATATGTATGTGAAATGAGGTCAGGAAGTCGACTCTATAGTCATGTCAGTTTCTAGTCATGCTATTTTTAATTAAACTTATGGATAATAATTTTAATTGTGGTAACACCTAATTAATTCATGCCTTGGTCTTAAAGGTGCATTCCAACAGAACGTCTGCTTAACAATTTTAGAAAAAATCTATAGAGGTATTGCCTAAAATTAAGATTTTTGAATACCCACTTTAAAGGTAACATAGGGTCTTAATGTTTTCAAATTGAGTCAAAGGACTTTTAAAACGTAAACCTTAAAATAAGAAAAAATGCTGTTATTTCCCAAATATTTCCATATTGTACAGTTTACAACTCTTTATAATGTTACAATTCAAACGCATGGGGATCGTTTATTAATTAAATTTCCTTTAACTTCCAGTGTCTCCTCCCTGTCAAGTGGCTGGCTATCGAATGTATGACGGACCGCATATTCTCCACCCAGTCAGACGTGTGGTCGTTCGGCATCGTGCTGTGGGAACTATTCTCCCTAGCTAAGACACCCTACCCGAATATCAGTCCCGCTCATTTGTTGCAGTGGCTTTCTGAAGGGTGAGTAAACTTAAGCTTAAATCAGAAGCTATGACGATGTAAGCGGCTCTAACTGTTGTTGAAAATAAGACCACACCACGTTGGAAAATAAAGTAAAAAAATTAAAGTTACATCTATTGACGTCTATTATTTACAAATTGATAATAATTCTTTAAAACAGTGAACGATTGGAATCTGTAGTTTATTGTTTATCTCACTTGCTAGCTTGTTACCAATTGCATAACGATATAGTAGTCAGCCAGGTACTCATTACGGCACTTAATGACACTGTACAATGTAACACCTATTTTTCACTATTTATATTATGAGTTCCATGTAATAAGGGGGTGAGCCTATTACCATATACCGGGCATAATTCCAGACTCCGTGCTACTACTGAGACCCGAGACCCCTTGACCGGCAGTCGACGACTACCCTGTCCCTGCTCTGACTAAAGACTTAAACTAAATCAAAGCCGTAGAAATTCAAATATGTCTTTAACTAATACTAATAGTGAAGTTTAAAATTTTTCAGGAAACGTTTAGAGAAGCCATCATACGCAGATGACCGGCTTTATAACGTAATGATGAGGTGCTGGGAACAGAAACCAACGAGTAGACCTTCCTTCTCTCAGTTGCAAGAAATACTCGGCGGTTTCCTCGAGGACAATGTGCGAAATGTAAGTCAAAGTCAGAACATAATGTTATATTAATGCTATGTATGTGTGTGTGTGTTACATAGTGACTGCACGATTGGTGCGGTGGCTGGGCAACCGGCTGCCGTGCAACGTGTCGCGGGTTCGATTCCCGCACGGAACAACACTTTGTGTGATCTACAAATTGTTGTTTCGGGTCTGGGTGTCTTTGTGTACGTGAACTTGTATGTTTGTAAACGTGCCCACGACACAGGAGAAAATCCTAATGTGGGGCAACGTTTTTTTAAAAAAAAAATACAACTTATTTAGAAAAACTAAAAGCTAAGTGTAGTTCCTCTAGACAAAAGGAGGAACTCTATGGAATCTATAATGTTTTTATTTGTTTACTAGCGACCCGCCCCGGCTTCGCCCGGGTGCAATATGCATGTATTATACATACAAACCTTCCTTAAGAATCACTCTATCTATTAAAAAAAACCGCATCAAAATCCGTTGCGTAGTTTTAAAGATCTAAGCATACATACGGACATACAGCGAAAGCGACTTTGTTTTATACTATGTATTGATCTGTGAGCAGTGACCATAAACGTAATTCTTATCTGTATTTAAAAGTAATAATGCAGATAGTATTAAAAATGGTTGTCCATGCGTTCTTTTGTCGATTAAACAATTGGGTATTTGCGTGGGTCAAAATTAATTATTTTGATTTTTCAATCCAATTAAATATTCAAAAATGATTTCATTCATATATTTGACAATATACTTAATTTTCGATGTTTTCTGGAATTTTTTTCAAAATAAGTATTCTTTTTGACTCGAAAATATGATGACAATATACACAAATAATAAAATACAAAACTATAGAACAATATCGTTTTGACGTTTCGATAAAAGTATTAAATTTGATTAGTTGTAAAATAGCGGTTTAATATGAACCATCTTTATTAATTACAGATTCATCATTATTTATAGAACTACCTACTAGTAATTAAGTACTAAAATACATTTTCAAAAAAGGAATGTGGTTTATTAACGTAGAATTAAAATAGTAATTAAAATGAATTCATTTCCTTCCTTTGTACCGGTAATAGGTACCACAATAGACCATTATAGGAAAATATTTCAATTATCCTTGTAAAAACTAAAAACAAATCTTAATTTCTGCGCCACGTTGTAGCGATACGTTGAAACTAGTGAACTCGGTTTTAACATCAACTTTTGAACGATCTTAGCAAGCGTTTGTAGTTCCTGTGTCATACAACAGATGCCGCTGGCATCCTTATTGTGATTAAAGCTTGTACAACTTGGTTGCTAAAATTTTAGGATTAACTAAATATCCGGTTATTTTTGTAAAAAAACTGAATGGAAATTGGAAAAAGACTCAAACTAAATGGAATCAGTACAAATTTAGATTTTGTAAATGTTGTATAGTGTAGTTTACTTAATATTGAAGTTAACTTCAATTAACACAAAAATATTTTTATAAGTTTTCAATTCAATATTATAGAAGAAGGCTATTTTTGTAAAAAAATTAAGATATTATAACTTCGAAATTTATTAATGTAGTTTCAAATAATAGATCTTTTTGACAGTATTTAAGTCTACCTGAGTCAAACTATTTAGAATTTGTATAAAATATTTTTGGTGTATCCAAATATTTTTTTTCCAGCACTACGTTGACTTAAACACGGCGTACATGGACACGAATGTGAAGCCTGGGGGCGAGGATTACCTGGCTATGGTTTGTGCACCAGACTACAATAACCTGGTGACTCCGAGCCCGCACCATTACGTCAACGACAGGAGTTTCTTCCCTGTCACTCCTACACAGATAGGTAAGACACCTAATCTAATTAATTAATTATTTTTTAATTTAGTGGAGGACTAATGGCCATTTAACCCTGGTGTGGTCGCGTGGACTACATATGTAATCCACCTATAGAAAATTGATCATTTCCAACAATCGATTAGCTCTAACTTGTGGCGCCTCCAGGTACTTTCAAATGAATAATTGTGCGACGCGCTCAGTGCAGCTCAAGCGTAGGACTCGCGCGGTTGTGTCACAGGAGCTCAGTAAAGAGTGTGGACTACAAGTGTAATCCGCGCGACCAATCACGTAAGTTTTTTTTTTACATTTATTTATTACGTTTTCGTTTATTTTGGATAAAATGTACCTTATTTTGTTTTGGTATGTTGCTGTAATAATATATAATGTTTGTTTTTAGAGAAAAAAAATGGACAATGCACGTGATGCTCTAATTGAGTCGTGGCTGACTGAAGTTGATGTCGGAAATTATGTAAATGAAGCTGAATCAAGCTCTGATGAAAAAGTTGACAATTTAGAAGAGGAAGTCCATCAATCGGAATCCGAGCAAGAGCAAGACACACCGGGTGAGCGATCTGACGAAAGCTCTGAAGATGATCTACCTCAGCAACGCCGCCGGCGCACTGACTTTTATAAAGGAGTAGATGATACATTGTGGGCATATAATAGGACTAAGAATGGAGCTGGCCTGGTGGATAAAATGTGTTCCATGTATGATGTAGCGAGAAACTCAAGAAGATAACCTCTTACAATTTTTTCCGCTTGTTGAATTTGAGTGCACTCAATGCATTGTGTATTTACACAGCAAACAGGAATTATGAACCTGTGAGCCGACGTGAGTTCCTAATTGACTTGTCTCTGGCATTGATGAAGCCACTAGCACAGAAGAGATTTGAAAATAAATCGTTGCCAAGAACTCTAACAATCAGAATAAAAGATTTTCTTGGTATTACGTATGCCGAAACTCAACCCAATACCTCAGAAGGAACATCAAGCAATGTTGTGCGCCGTTGCCATGACTGTGGAAGAGCGCGCAATAAAAGCACTAGAAAGATGTGCACCAAGTGCAGCAAGTTTGTATGTGGGGATCATTTGAAGATTATGTGTCTATCCTATGCAGAAAATAATATTTAGATATTAGTTTTTACCGTTTTTATAAATTGTGATCTTAATAAGAACAATTCATGTGATTTTAGTGCCATGTTAGAGATAATTTCTGATATTGTTGATTATTTGTAACACAGAGGTTGTGATTAAGTTGTGATATTAGTATTTAATTAAGAAAACGGCACAGATTTTATTTTTCATTTAATAAATAAATAGTTTATGAATAAATCTTTTGTTTTTTTCAATTTGTATATGGATTACGTAAGTAGTCCACGCGACCACTCATGAAACTTTTAGGAGCGCGACCACCGTAAGGTTAAATCATGAACATTTTCGGTAGATATTCAATTAACTCGTTGTATTCAGGTTTACTCTTTGAAACAAACCTAATTGTGTCTATATTAAGGGCTATTGTAGTGCATCTTGATAATATGTCTCATTAGGAGATTAATCCTCTAATGTAAATCAAGATTACACTGAATCAGTAATCAATTGACCGTAATAGTAACAAATAGCTGTTAGACTATAATCGCTAGTGGCGCCAATTTACTGGAACCAAATCAATAAATCGTACTAATTAACGGCTACCAAAATGTGGAATTGATACAGGATTTTTGAGTAGTTATGCATGTGTTCTATCCATCGATCCAATCACACGACTTAAACCCACCTTTAGATTCTCTATGTAGGGACAGTAACTCTCACATTCATGCCAACAGTTTGACGTTGACAGTGCCTTTGTCCCATAGTAGTACATAAGAGCTATTTTCGTAAATCAAGTACAATTGATGTATGGTCTACGGTACAACTGGATTTAAGCTCGAATAGATGAACTGGATAATTTACACTGTCAACGTGCCAACTCGCACCGATTAGCACCCAGCCTTACTGCTATAGATTTTTATTGCAACGCGAACATTTCGTTTCGGTTCAATGGATTAGATTGCAATAATAGAGAGGAAAAAAGAAAAAAGTCCGTAATAATGTAATAAAATGTAACTAAATTTTATTATTGTATTGTTTTACAAGCAACCGAAGTGAAGAAAGGTAAAATGTTTAATTCCAACACTTTAAAATGTAATGTTATGTATTTCGTAGGTTCGATTACTACGGATAAAGCATAGTCAACTATTCTTCTATACTCTTTCTATGTTAAGATCACGTTTGTAATCAGAGCTATGAGAAATTTGATGAAGTATTGCATAATTTTTACGACAGTTTAATTGAATTTCCTTTTATCAGACGGAACGGCTAACACTTCATTCTGATCACGCAAAATACTACAAACGGTAAATCAACGCATGTCGTTTGTTGTAACTAACAAGAACTGTGATACTGATCACTGCACTGTCCTACTTGTACACACCACACCTTTTGAACTAAAATAACTTAAAACTTGTTTGGTTTGGTTGACGTAGTACTTAGCATCCACTCCTCGTGTGGCATGGTGTGTAAATAAAACTGTGCTCTTTAATAAAACTGTTCTTAACCTCGTGTGTAATTTCAGACGAGGAAGGCTATCTACAGATGAGTCCCGCATCAAGACAGAACATATTTAGTCCTCGAGCTCAGGACATGAAGTTCGACTTCGATGCTCGCAAATTTAACCCGAGGGTATCGGAAGCAAGTAGCTGTGGTTCAGAACTAACGCCAATGCTTACTCTGAACAATTTACCAGCTCGAAGCGGGTCGGAGTCCGACCACGAAGGCAACGCGTCGCCCTACCTCAACATGTGTCCCAGAATAGACGAGGAGACAGATGACGTGTTCGAGACGAACCAAAACAATGCAAAGAACGCGCTGAACACGGCGCACACTAACCCGACGTACATCTCGTTAGACGTTGACATTGAGAAGAAGCCGAAAGATATTATTAACTCGTATATTAACGTACCGAACGGTCTAGTCAAATAATTTCATTTTGTGTACCAGAATAAGCTAATCTCATTTACTAATATGTTATAGTATCTACTTATATATAACCTGCATGAATGTTAGTTTTCCTTTGCTGTTCATTTTGATCTCTGTATTCTCTTGATGAAGTACTATTTTTCTTTCTTAATTTTCTTTTACGTAAATTTCTATTTTCTTTTTTCTTGTCTTACGTAAATAATTGTGTTTGTGTCTCAAGTGTTTATTTCATTTAGGGAGCTTATTTGTTGTATCCTCATTCATGTTAATAGGTTTGTATCGTAGATGTATTGTATGTACAGAAATGTTTACTTTTTGTGTAGACTGAATGATGTAGGTGACTTACTACTTCAATAAGAACTAGTCAGTCACCTTTGAATAATTGAGATTCGGCATGTGATTGGTGGTCAGCCTTAAAACTAAGTAGATGCCGTTATTATAACATATTACAATTAATTATTGAATATTCGGAATCTGGCACGGTTGGCACGGTGGCTGGGCAACTGGCTGCCGCACAACGTGTCGCGGATTCGATTACCGCACGGAACAACTTTTTGTGTGATCCACAGTTTGTTGTTTCGGGTCTGAGTATCAAATCATGTATAATGTGAACTTGTATGTTTGTAAACGCACCCACGACACAGGAGAAAATCCTAGTGTGGGGGCAACGTTTAACTAAAAAATAATAATAAATAAAATAAATAATTCGGTCGTAAATCACATTAAATCGGGACAAAGTTGCCCATGTCTAGCATGTATGGAAAGCCACAAAGTCATATGTCGGATAAAGTGATATTTTAATATAGGACATGTCATTGGACTCGATTGTATGAATGTAGTCAGTATCTAGACGTTCTGCGAAGCCCACCAGTAATATAAATGCGAATATTATGTTTTAAATATTCTTATTTCTACAGAAAACATTCCTATATATTTTTCTTTCGAATAGAAACAGTCTTATGAATGAATGTACCTTTATATAACAAGATTTTGTTTTATGAATGTTTGTAGGTATATATTATTTTATATATTGTAGTTGATATTGTTTGGAAAATTACACCAAATGTTGTATTCTAAACCAGATAGAGATGCTTGGTGTCTGTAATTTAGATAGATTGGAATTTAAAGTACACAATTTTTTTTTCTATGACATCTATGATGTATAAGTCTTTGGTCTTTCAGCTATTATAAACATAATTATTACATCTATTTCAGCTACGTAATTTAAGTAAATAATATATTTTAATAATAAAAAAATGACTATGTATATTTAATAGGAAACTAGGAAAATTCTGGCGATCCATAAATCGACTTATATACCAAATATTATATATTATAATTATTAATTGTTATGTATAGTATTGAACATTGATAAAACTTAATATATAAAGCTGTGACTTCCAATTTATAGGTACTTTTCAGTACATATTTTTGACTAAGTAGAAATCTGTTGTTTTTTGATCAAAGTATATTTTTGTTGTACAAACTATGTAGATGCCATATATTAAGGAACTCAATAAAATAAAAACGAAAATATATCAATGTGATATTAAAATAATTTTACTAAGATCTTTTCATTTATTTATGTTTCCCATTATATAGATGTTTTACAAAAGCTTTAGGTATATATGAAACAAGTTAGTTATAGTCAGATAGAAAAACTCAAACTCATATATCCCTAAGTGATCACCGGTGACTGCTCTCCACTAACTACATTATAGACCTTATTTCTAATGTTTAGAGACTACTTTTGTATGAACAAATTTAGGGGATGATTTTCTACAATTTTCAACAGGTTAGTTAGCTAGTTTATTTTTAAGTTTGAGGAACAAATTTATATATAATTTTTGAAATAATTAATTGACAGTAGACATATTACTATAATTTTACTATTGATTGCATTATGATCCGATTGATGATACACATTTGCACATGTCAGTATCACTACCAACGCTTGCTGCATGCGAAGTACGGTAAGGAGCCTGGCAGAAACAGCGTGTGATGCAACATGCAGCCGCGTTAGTATAATATAGAGTTATGAATATCATTTTTTTAAATATAAAGTGGCTCTCCACTTCACTGAAAGATGATTATAACTAAACAGTATTGACTAAGTCAAAAATTTGAGAAAATCACGGGGTACTTATTACCTTCATATATATATATATATGTGTTTATTTATCTACATGACCCTCGTTTTGGCAGTCGGGTAAAAATATTAAGAACATTATCTCATATGTATGATTAAAAATGGTACTTTTAATCATATACTTGAGAAACAGAAATTGACATTCGAAGAAAGTTCACATGTTTTATAAGTACCTAATAAAAGAAGTCCATGAATATAAATACTATGAATTGGTCTAAAAGGAACTAGCAGGTAATATCTATTTTAGGAAATAGTTTTCCATTCTTCACTATATTTCGAGCAATCTTTACACCTATTTCTTTGTGTAGCTTGATTTTTCCACATAAGGCCGGAAATTAAGGAAAAAATCGTGTGTTTTGTGTCGGCTTCTTACTTGTCCGCTATTAGAAATCAATACAGGAAAAAACATCTTCTCAATCTCAACAAAGAATCAGTCAGTAGTGTGGGAAATGATAGTGGAAAAATATTTAAGATCCAATAAAATGTAGTTGCTGGCATTATGTACCTATGTTTCATCCGTCTTCTTTATACTGTCGTACTGAGGGTTTCGGATTTGATTCCCAGGTCAGGTGATTTTTTGAGTTTTCCAAAAACTTATAATTGCTGGACAAGTAACAAGTAGGTTTTACATTGTAAACCTACATAATTTATAGCTACTTAAATTTATTTACTTACTGCCTAGTGGCATTACATATTCTACATTTACTACATTTTCTATTCGTTCCGGATATTATAAGGCTGTTGTAATGCTATGGTTTTTTTTTAGTTTTATGTTATTACGTATACTTTTTTCTTTTCAAACATCACTGTAACACAACAAAACAAAACGAAGTCAACCGTGGCATCAGCTCTCGGTGAGCGCTCTACTTAAAGCCGGTAAAGCTACATCTAATCAATTCCAATTCACGCTTGTCACGCCTATTTAACATTACATTACTACCCACTTAGACGTATTCAAATAACTAACGCATTGTTTTTAGAAGTGTGAAGCAATGACATGTTTTCGCAAACCGTACATAATAATAGCAAATGACAAGTTAATTTTTGTTAAGCATTAAAGGTCATGTCTATATAAAAATGAGCCTAATTAGCACAAGAATATATTTATACATACGCACATACGAAGGCATTTCGAAGCGTCTCAAGTGACTAAACGTTCACCATACATATTCAAGTTTCTAGAAACTTCTGAATACTGAACAGTGAACAGTGTCTCTAGACGCGAACTAAATGCTCCTGATTACGTTCGCCTATTTAGGATTTAGACAAAGACCTTGTATCCCAAATATATGGAATTCGAAAGTTGGTATGTTTATTTGTTACTTCTTTACGCTTTATTTTGGATACACAGTATAGGTAGATGGAAGTACGGAGCAGGAGGAACAGGGCATGAAAGACACACGCAGGCAAAACGACGGCATAGGTATAAACAGTTGTGCAGCTGTGTTCCAAGAGACGTTATATTTTGCTATCTTATAGAACACTAGTGACCCGCCCCGGCTTAGCACAGGTGCAATATCCATGTATTATATATGTAAATCTTCTTTAAGAATCACTCTACCTATTAAAACAATCGCATCAAAATCTGTTGCGTAGATTTCAAGATCTAAGCATACATAGAGGCAGACAGACGGAGGATAGCGTTTATACTATGTATCTTATCTATACTATATTTATACTATCTTTATTTTATACTATGTAGTGATGTTATATTTAACCGGAAAGTGCGTAGCACTAATTACATCAAAATTATTCTTACTTTATACTGTAGTACAAAACAACACTGACCCATTCATACTAAAACACAAAACAGTGCAGTTTTAAATCAATGCTATTTCAATTATAACATTCATTCTGTCTAAAGTTGGTAGTACATCGTTGTTTCTCTAACTAAACTAAACCAAAAAGTTTGTGCATGTTACTAGAGTTTGCAGCACAATTTTTTGTAAATGAAATAGAAAAGAGATACAAATGCAGCATATCAACAGACATTTAGATTAAAGCTGGAGAAGAAGAAGATGATTTCTGCTTCTCTGGGAGTGATGTGTGAAAATTAAAATTCGAGGTTAATAAGGTACATATGCTCTAAAATAGTATGCTAAAGAACTGGATTTATAAAACCGACTACAAAAAACCAAAAACTCATAACAAACAAAAAGTCAAAACTACTAAGAAAAAAATAACTATCATTAGTCCAGATAACCCACCCAGAACCTAACGGGTAACCGGTGGGGGGCTCCGACTCGACGTGCAGGAGAAGGAACGGGGTGGTTTTTAGTCATTAAGAGTCTGCCACTTCCTCCCGACTCACCCAGGCGGTAGCAGTCATTCGATGATTTTCCCCCCTTAAAAAAAACCCACCCACTAAAGTTAGAAGTCGGTGCCATAAGTTCTAAATAAAATTATTCATTAAAACCTTAATAAAAAAATAAATTTTATCCTAATTTAACCCTAATTTACAATTTTGTGGCCATTAAGATAAATTATTATGATATGAGCTTTTCTATTTAGTATGTTTAAAAAATGTTCAAATATCGAACGCGTGTCAAACCATCAACGCCAGTGAAACCTGATATGAGCATTCTAATTTTGAGCAACATTCCGAGTTTAGACACTCGTGCTACTAAGAACCAAGTGGTCAAGAACCAAGTGGTCAATGAAGCATATATTCATGCTTGAAATACGGCTTATTAGGATAGATAGGTAGATAGATAGATAGATATTTTTTTAAGGGAGATAATCATCGAATGACTGCTCCCGCCTGGGTGTGGCAGGAGGGAGTGTCAGACTCTTACTGACAGAAAACCACCTCGTTCCTTCTCCTGCACGTCGAGCCGGAGCCCGGTCACCCGTTCGGTTCTCCGCGACTTATTAGGATAGTCTGGTTACTAATTGTGTAGGGTTCATAAGTAATTTCACACGTAACACTGACATTCGAATAAATTTGGCTACAATTTTGAACTTCATAACTTCGGAGAAATTCTACTTTCATTGCATTGAAGACAGAGCAGAAATTAGTTTAAAATACTAAAGAATACGTGCGATGTTACCCGTTATCTGGTTTAATCTATTTTTTCGTCACTGCACGCGGTGGAGGTTCAAATAACGCCATGTCGTACGAAAAATTAGTTTGTTTCTTTTTGGTCAAAAATTTTTGCATACTTTTTAATTGGACTTTCGTCCTTTTTAATTTAGTTGTAAATGAGTGTCGTTTCAGGAAAATGTGTTGTTAGTGCGAGGAAAATATGTTTCGTATTATTTTTAATAAAACTTTCTATACGGAACTGGGTAATGGGGTGTTCTTTTAAAGCAATTAGTTCTTCTATGTTGCTAATTAATATACTAGTAGACGTAGTTTTACCTAATTTA